AGTGTAGAGTGTAGTAGTAGAGTGTAGTAGTAGAGTGTAGAGTCTAGTAGTAGAGTGTAGTAGTAGTGTAGTAGTAGAGTGTAGTAGTAGAGTGTAGTAATAGAGTGTAGAGTGTAGTATTAGAGTGTAGAGTGTAGTAGTAGAGTGTAGTAGTAGTGTAGTAGTAGAGTGTAGAGTGTAGTAGTAGAGTGTAGTAGTAGAGTGTAGAGTGTAGTAGTAGAGTGTAGAGTGTAGTAGTAGAGTGCAGTAGTAGTAGAGTGTAGTAGTAGAGTGTAGAGTGTAGTAGTAGAGTGTAGTAGCAGAGTGTATTAGTAGAGTGTAGTAGTAGAGTGTAGAGTGTAGTAGTAGAGTGTAGTAGTAGTAGTAGAGAATGTAGTAGAGTGTAGAGTGTAGTAGTAGAGTATAGTTTAGTGAAATGAAGGCACAGATTGTGTTGTAAAGTGCTTTGAGTATCTTGACTAGATAGAAAGGTGCTATATAAGTACAGTCTATTTACCATTTACATTTGGGTAAAGAGATTGGATGAAATCTATTAACTGATATCCACCCTGATGCCGTTATAGAGTCCTGGACTGGCTCATGACTTGAGGCAACCAGTAAAACTGCAGCCTCATTTAACACTCAGATCCAGCTGAAGAACAAATAATGATTGCTGATGCCTGTTAGATCCCCTCCCCCCACCACCACCACCACACACACAGACACGCACACACAAACATACACGCGCACGCCATTGATGCTCACGTATGTAGGACACAGAAACCTTTACAATATTTGTTCCAGTAAGTTCAGAATCTACCGAATGACTGTTAAAAGGCATCTTCTTCTAGCTGCAGATTTAACTGAGGCAGTGCACCTCAGCTTCAACTGCAGAAGAGGAACAAATAAAAAATTTAACAAGCTCAGGCAGTGGAAATTATGGGAGTGACAATGTTATATATATATATATATATATATTTTTTTTTTTTTTTTTTTTTTTCCTGAAAGATTCATAACAACACTTTGAATCCAAGCCTATTCAAGGGATTTGCCTCTAAGTAAAATGTTAAAATACAAAATAATTTATTTCTGTCAAGGAAGTAAATTGAAACTTATTTATTACAGTAATTACTAAAGAAAATTAAATATGTTTCTCTACTTATAAAACAAAGGAAGCAGATTTGCAGCACTTGTAAATACTGACAACAGATGATTTTACAAATAAATAAATAAACCCATATTTTATTCTCAATGGAACATAGTAAACATATCAACCATTAAAACTAAGAAATTGCTCATTTGTGGAGAAAAAAATTAATGTAATTTTGAATTTTATGGCTGGACCACATCTAAAGGTTGGGATATAACCATGTTTATTACTGTGGTTATCCCCTCTTCTTTTAACAGTCTGTAATGTAATGTCTGTAAGAGTCTAGGAACTGAGGAGTCCAGTTGTTGGAGTTTTTGGTGGGAATGTGTTCCCATTCTTGCCTGATGAAGGATTCAAGCTGTTCACCAGTCTTGGAGTTTTACTGGATTTTTAGGTGGATGGGGGAACATGTTCTAAATCTTATAGAACGATACATTTATGATACGATAGATCGATACGTTTATGATACAATACGATAGATCGATACGGTACGATTCGATAGATTGATAACAGTAGGATACGATAGATTGATACAGTACAATACGATAGATCGATACGGTATGATACGACAGAACGATACGATAGATCGATACGGTACAATACGATAGATCGATATGGTACGATAGATCGATACGTTTACGGTACGATATATCGATACGGTACGATGGATCGATACCGACTGACCGTTTTAATGCACTGGTCCCTGAGGGCCTGTAGATCAAGACCATCAAATATTGACTTTCAACCTTGTTTGTTAAGAACAGATATTTCTCCAGATTATTGAAACCTTTTGATGTTATGATTGTAGATGATGGGATAGTCAAAGCTTTCTTAATACGGACTTGTTGCCAAATGCTCCTCCAGCTGCATCTTATTTGTACCACTTAACTTTACGCTTTCCATCCCAATTTTTTTAGATGTGTTATTGCCATAAAATTCAAAATTACCTTTTTTTTCTCCAAAAACTAGATACAGTTTCTTATTTTCAAATTTACATCTTTACAATGTTCCATTACTAACAAAATATGGGTAAATGAGATTTGCAACGCATTACATTTTGTTTTTAATTTACATTTTACACAAAGTCCCCGCTTTTCCTGAAGTGAAATTGTACTAAAAATGTGATTTTAAAACTAAAAGTCAAAAATAAACATGCACAGAAAAGTGTTCAGGTGGTAGATTTTTGGAAACATCATAATTAACCACTGTGGGGCACGAACTCCAAATTTAGAGGGCAGATCTGTAAAATGGCTCGAAGTGTTGCGAGTTGGAAACACTCGAATGCATTTGTGTGTATCAAACCACACCTCGGTAAGTTGGCAGCTTTTCAAATAAAGATTTTTTTTCTGTAAAGGATCTTGATTAAGATGATGATCACTAATGGTTGACCTGCTCCTCTGAACCACAGGTTCAAGAGCTGCACGGGATTTTTTTAAGGCCAAAAAAAGCTGCTCTCCTGTCATAACGAGTCAATAATGAGATACATTTCCTGATTCCACGTTTAGAGTAAAGTTTTTTACAAAAGAAACAGATACTTTCTAGAACTCCTCAGTATATCATGAAGTGATTAATTATCCTAATCACTTGTGCTGCAACATACACACAAGATAATGGTGAGAACTTGTTTGTAAGAAAGAGAATAAAAATGTTTTCTGTGTAAAAGCAGCTCACTCTTCCTGTTCGACCATGCATTTCTAAAGTACAAATTGCATTTTGAAACACTGGAAATTAAATAATAAAGTAAGATAATTGGATTTTGCTAAGTTATTTATCCAGAGTAAGCAGGTTGTTTTTTATTCACATAAATATGTAATTTCAATCTAATTTACTCGGTGAACCGCTCAGGAAAATTAAGATCATTAATCCAGCTGAATTATAAAAAGAATGTGTGATAGCTCTGCAGAAAAAATCTCACTGCTTTATTAGTAATTAAAATCACTTTTTCAACTGCTCCCTTCAGTCTCATCCTGATGAATTAAATTTAATTAATGCAAACCTACACGTCTGCCATTACAGCTGCTGTTTGCTACTGAGAAAACCTGTGACATCCAGTTAGAGTGATAAGACCCAGTTTCTGAGCTAAAACTGCTTCTCTTCAGGCCTCTCAGATATCATAAATAATAAAACGTTATGCTAGACTGCAACCATCAAAATTCTGGTCTTATCTTGAGCTGTGTACTTACAAAGCAGAAAAAATTACTCAGTTATTTTCACATTTAAAAAGCTTTTAGCTTTTTTTTTTCCCATTTTAGCAATAGTGTTTATGGAGATACATGAACTCTGTTCTGTTACCCTGTTTTCAATCAGGTATGCACCAGGTGGCTGCAGCTTTCAGACTTCAGGGCACACACACGCACACACAAGTTTGTCTTTCTATCTTTACAGGGACTTTGCATTGACTTCCATTCATTTTTCATTCATTTCTATAGCCTAATCCTGACCCTTGCCCTAAACCTAACCCATCCTCAATTCATACCTTAGTTGTAAACCTAACCCCTAACCCACTAATGGCACTTCATCTTATGGTGCCCGGCCTTTGGGCCCCACAAGGAGCAGTTGGTCCTCACAGTGTAGTATGTGTTGGAAAAATGGGCCTTAGAGAGAGAGAGAGAGAAGGGCAGTACAATGTGCAGCAACCCCACCTGCTGGTTGAAAACGAACATTGCACCATAATACTGAAACAAGTGGCTGAGTCATTCTGTCAGACCAGGGGTCTGCAACCTTTACAATCAAAAGAACCAAATTTACGCCTTCGTTCACTGAATTAAAAGTGTTCAGAGCTGCAACAACCTGCTACAACTGTGATTATGAACTGGTAGCCCATGGGCCACTTTAGGCTTGGTGGAGGGGGGCTTTTGTTTGGTCAGTAGGTAGGGGTGACATTAAAAGCTCAAAATATATAATGATTGTTGTTACATTTATTCATATTTTTACAATTTAAGACAAACAAAAAGACCAGATTCTTGTAAAGAGTGGGGAGGGGGGTGTAGTTTTATATATATATATATATATATATATATATATATATATATATATATATATATATATATATATATATATAATAAAACTATGCAGATCTATGTTATTTTCTTTAATTGTAGAAAAAAGTAAGCATAGAAGTAAAGCATAAAGTTACAGTGAGTACGTTTTACTTCTTGTACTAGTTACAGTATTTACATATTTGCTAAAGAAATGACAGGAAAAGTGCTAAAACTAGTCTTTTGTTGTTGTTGTTGTTATAACAACCAATAAAATTTAGTGAGCCGCATGTTGCAGACCCCTGTGTTAGAAAAACTGCTCAAAGCTGAGAGGCTACAGAGAAAAGGGTTGCATTTAAACAGCTATGAGTATTCACACATTTATTTCTATATAAATCATGAGTTCAGACAAAAAACATGTAATGTTTCAGGGTGCAGTAGTTCATCTTTAGAAAGAACATTATGACATTTCATAAGCACAGGAACTAAAAACAATGGAAAAAAGTGCATGTGTCTGTAAATGTATGAAAAAGCTATATATTTCCAAGCAGTTCAATTAAATATGTCTTATTTATTAATATTAAATGTGAACGTTGATAAAAGTGTACCAATACAACTCTCTGCCTCAGATTCATTTGTGTAAAAGTACACACTGAATCAGTTTAAAGTTTGTTTAAAGTCCGTGAGTGTGCCAGATGTCAATTTAATGCTGTCGTTCCATCTGAGCCGCGGAGATTAGAAGATAAAGACTTGGCTAATTTTCATGAAGCTGGCTTAAAGGCACTTGGGCCACCAGTGGACCAATTCCCTCAGACCTAAATGCGAACATGTCACACATTTTTTGACACCGAACCGAACAGTAAACCAATAAAATGACAAAGAGAAGTTTGTACCTTAAAGGGACTTGGCAAAGTGTAGAGGCAGGGAAGAGGTTCTCACAAAGTTCAGAAGGAGAAGGAGGAGGAGGAAAGGAGGGAGATGCAGGTGGGGTTGGTAGGGCTTCTAGGGGTTTTAAGACAGGTAGTTCTGTGGTGTCGTGGAGGTGAGGACCAGAAAGCAGGAGGTGTTCATTGAAAGGAGATGCGGGTGAAGCAGGAACAGGGCGACCTTTCTCTGCCTGCTCAGCGAGGAGGGATCTGCAGGGGAGGGAACACAAGACATCAACAGAAAAACCCAAAACAAGTCGGATAACTAGCAATTTGGAGGACGCACCACGTTCTGTGTCATGTTCCTGTTCAAAAGAACCTTTGAAGTAAGCTCACCTGAGAGCAGAGATAAACGGCACCCTCAGCTCTGTGTTATCATCCAAACCGAGTAGCAATTTTAAAAATAAAAAGCTCGCTTCAACCATCTTAAAAACACCCCGAAACAGAAAATGTAACTCCTCTCATCAGCTGTTCTACAGGATCGTCCATGCTTGCAGAGAAGCAGCCTGTTTGATGGAGTTGAACCCTGTCATCGTTGGCCAGCTGGTGGAGTGGATTTAACCCTGATCCACGCTGGTCTTATCACAAGTGGTAGGCTCACTAATCTGACAGGCAACGCTATGGACGCCCGTGCAGCTGTTCCTCACTTGGGGAATGCCTCCTGTTTAGCTCTAAAAATATCCCAGAAGCTTCTTCAGCAAACGAGAACTTCACAAAACTGCCATCATGTCTACGGTTAACGGCTGAACTGAATCTCAACCATCCTTTGAGTTCATTTCAGGCTGAAGCAAAACAAACAGTAACAGCAAAACTTCATTACATCCACTGAGATTGTGTGTTCTTCTACAGGACTTTATTATTATTATTATTATTATTATTAATAACCTTTATTTAACCAGGCAAATCCCATTGAGATCACAGATCTCTTTCGCAAAGGAGGCCTGAAGGCAGCCAAACATGTTTTTGGTCTGTGGGAGGAAACCGGAGTACCTGGAGAAAACCCACGCAAGCATGAGAAGAACATGCAAACTCCACACAGAAAGACATAAGGTCCAAATGGGAATTGAACCCAGGACCTTCTTGCAGTGAGGCAACAGTGCTAACCACTGAACCATTGTGCTGCCTACGGGACTTTCACTTTGGACATCTGAACACTGTTTTTCCTGACATTTGATCAGGACAGTTCTGATGTTGTTGTTTTTTTAAGCTGTTCTTCCTGGAAAATAAATATCTAACAATTTCGCAAAAACTTTTTATTGGGTATTATTCTTTTTAACCAGCTTAGCTGTCATGCAAAAACGGGAACAAACTCTCGGGGATTGTTAGGATGTGCAGCAAAACTGCTGGCATAGCCCTACAGAACCTCACTGACCTACGCAAGGCGAGGTCAGTGAACAAGGCCAGGCTGATTCTGGCAGATCCCGATCACCCACTCCATGGTGAGTTCAGGTTGCTTCCATTTGGACGCAGGTATCTGCTGCCCACATGTAGAATGAACAGAGGGAACAACTCATTCATCCCTGTAGCGATCAGGCTTCTCAACAAACAATGACAATTTCTGTTCTGTTATTTTAATGTCTTAGTGTTTTGTCTAGTACGGATGTTTTGTGTGACTACTGACTGTGAAACAAATTGCCCCTTGGGGATAATAAAGATTCTTGAACTTGAACTAGCTCATTAGCAGTAAAGTTACTCATCGCAAACTATGATATTAAACATAAAAATGGTGATCCTGAACAAAGGGTTCAGTTTAAAAGAGTTCACTCCAGTATTTTTAAATATATATATTGATGTGCAATTCTGAAATGCACATCCACATGATGCAAACAGACATTTTTATTTACATACATTACTCAACAAATTTGAGTATAAATGTGTACCAATACACCGCAATTGTCTGACTTCTCAATACCAAATGGCCCTTTCATAAATGTCACAATTGTTCACAATACTGTGCATTCACTATGAATGTAAAAAAAGTGTGAACTTTTATCTTTTACTTCATCGTATTTTTTTATTGACTGGCCTTCCTTTAAAGTTTTGTTTTATGTGACTTTATCAGTCTGTTTGCTGTTATCATCTGCTACATTTCAGTCTAGTTGTAGATCAGACTTTGACTGGTCTCAGTTAAACAACTTTTTCTTTATTCAAGTCATTTTGTTGCAAACTTGCATTTGTGCTCGGTATCAGTTTTCCGTTGCATGAACGAGTTCAGTTCCGCCTTCGTCAGACGGACAGACACATCAGACTCTAGAGCTCATTGTTGAATCAGTGACTGCAGGTCCTGTGGCTGCAAAACAAACCTAAATCATCACCCCTCTTCCACCGTGCTTGACAGTTGGTATGAAGTGTTTGTGTCTGGGTTTTGCCAAATGTGATCGTTAGCTCACACTAGCTGCTGCTTTTAAAAATAGACAGAAACTGCTCTGAAAAGTTTTTTGTTTTTTTTAAATGCTAGCACTATCTGAAAATAAGAGTACCCGTACACACAGGCCAATGACGAAATGTGGGGCATGTTCACTGATTATTAGTGTTCTTTTTTTGTGAAGACAGTCAGCTGACCCACTCAAGGTAACAGCTGAAGATTTTCAGCATAGCTCAGACGCGATGCGCATAAAGTCACAGAAGCTTTATCGTAACAAAAATAATTACAACAAATTAAACAGTGCGTGTGCGCCAGGAGGCCGTCCAATACAGATTTTTATTGTTCATCTGTACTCTGGCACATCATGAACGCCTCACGAGAACACGGATAATAAATCTTCTTTACAGCATCATAGAGATGTATCTATCCTCATCTTTGTAATTCAGGATCACTACACAGATTAGACATGGCTTGTGCTGGATTAAAGCCATGTTAGTACACTTTTTAAATATGTAATCTAAAGGAAACATCAGAACGCAAGGTGCTTTGTGTCAAGCAAACACCTGTAACCAAAACCAAGGGCCAAGGGGAACAACGATCCTCGCACACTCTAAAACGCTCTTTAATAAAAAAACACTGTCTACCATGTTTCAGACACATATTTAATTTGTATACACTTGTGCTCGCAAAAGCAAATTTACATAGAGTCACCATGACAACTGCTCTACAGCACAGTGTGGATTATAACACATCAGACTTCTCGCTGACTCGTAAATCATGGATAAAATATATTCAACGCACACAATGAAAAGTCGCAGTTCTAAAGTTTTCAATAAAGCAGAGGTATACGTTAACTGGCCCTGTTATATAGTTTTAAGATATTTTATTCTTTAGCAAAAAGGGTCAAAACTGTTTATTGAAAGCTCGTTGTTTCAATAGGGAATTTAAAATAATATATCAATAGAATGTATTAAATGATTCTATCATTATTAAAGAAATGTCTCCCCCAAAATCAGAGCTGTGAGAAGTGTGCAAACACGTTCTAACATGACTTTTTTTTTTTAAGTGGGAGGTGGTTCTTTGCACAAGTTTGTTCCACAAAAGTCTTCCATCACTTCATTTATCTATTTGTACCCCCCACCCCGTTCATCTGCTGAGGTCAAACGGTTTAATGCCGACAGGTATCTACAGACCATCTGCTGCGTCCACCTGGAAGCTCTTAAGACTGTAGACGGGCACCGATGACAAAACAGAGCAGCTACTTTCTGTCAACTCACCCAGATTTCAGTCACAAACGGATCCATCGCTGCTTCAGACGTAGCAGCAGTAAAGTTTCAAAACAACTTCCGTTAAGGGAGTTTTAAACTCCACAGCAGTAAGAGTCTGTGGCTGCACTTTCCAGTCCTTCTCCCCTCTGTGTACGACTCGGGCTGACTCCGTCACACACACTCACACCCCGGCACATGCTCAAGTGCTTCTCTGAACTCTGGCTTTTGTTCCACTCAGTCTGGTCTGTGCGAATGACTTCAGTGGAACTGAGAGGCTGCCTAAATTCCTCCCACTCCAGGCTTCAGTTCACAAAGCTGCACAGACTGAGCGAGACTGACAGCTATAACGCCCTGTGAGGGCAGAGGAAGAAACAAATGTGTGCACTCACATGCAGTCATATTTCTGTCCCTGTGTAACTTTAGCTATTGATGAAATCTAAGAAGATATTGCGCCGTCCACTGTTATGTTTGAGCAAAGCTGTGTGTCTCTGATGGGACAAGTGTTGAGACAGACAGGCAGCAAATGCTACTGTGGTATGTGGATGGCTCCTCAACGTGTAGGACCAGAGAAATAAATAGAAAAAAAATAAAGCAATAAATGTAATCCTCTGCACTGATTTCTGCTATAACAGCAGAACATGATCAGGAAGTGCATGTGAATATCTTTTTTTTTTAAGTGAGTTTAGCTAAAGCTAAATGTTTGAATGAACTACAGAAATTGTCTTTTGAAAGTGTGAATGCTGAATGTTGAACAACTTTGCTGAAATGTGCTGAAAAACATGAAACTGCGTTGTTAAAGCTAAAAGTAGCAGAATGCTAGCTAAGTTGAGCAAAACGTCAGCTCAAAGCTAAAAAAGGCAAAACTCTAGCTAAACTCTAAAATCGGCTAAAACTCAAACTAAATACTAAAAGCTTGAAGAAAAGGTTTAGCTAAGTGCAGTGGTGGGTACAGTTCTGCTAATAGGCTAACAGCTAATAGTGGAAATAATTTTTCTTTTAGCGGATTAGCGTTTTTGCACATTTTGGAAACCATCCATCCATTATCTTTACCCGCTTCTTCCTTTACAGGTCACGGGGGTCACTGGTGTCCATGTCCAGCTATCACTGTGCGAGAGGCGGGGGACACCACAGGTCTCCAGTCCATCACAGGGACACATAGAGACAAACAAACATTCACTCACTCACTCCCACCTAGGGACAATTTAGAGTTACCAATCAGCCTAACATGCATGTTTTTGATCTGTGCGAGAAAACTGGAGTACCTGGAGAAAACCCACGCATGCACGGAGAGAACATGCAAAGTCCATCCAGAATGGCCCTGGGATTTGAACAGGCGACCTTATTGCTGAGAGGCAGAAGCTCTACCAACTGCACCACAGTGCTGCCAACTTTGGAAACAGTTAGTGGAATTAGATTCTGCTAAATTAGGTTTTGTCAAATTTAAGCCCGCTAACAAAATTCACAAGCTTGTTCCTGTCTGTTGTGAGCGTGTGTCAAAGAGTCCGTTAGGTGTGCTGTTGGCTTACTACGTGTGCACGTGAGAAGACGTGATTGGTCAACACAGCTTCAACTGGAAGAAGACAAAGACGTCTGGTACAGACTGAGCGACAGTCATCTTAGCGGTTTAGCGTTAGCTTCCACTATTTTGTTTTACCTATTTAGAGTTTTAACATTAATATATAAATTTTTTAGTTAGCAGAATACAGGTTAGCAAATCTAATGGTTTGGTTAGCTGTGCCTACCACTGGCTAAGTGCTAAAAGTCAACAAATAATAGCTAAAGTGACAAAAAGCTAGCTAAAAGTAGCAAAAAGCTAGCTAGAAGCTGAAAGTTGCAAACTGCTAACTAAAAGAAATAAAAAAAGCTAAAGGGAGCAAAGGAATAGCTAAAAGTAGCCAAAAGGTAGCTAAAAGTTAAGTTTCTTAGAGGTAGGTAATGTATCAAAAGGCTAGCTAGAAGCTAGGTTGACTAAAAACTAAAAGTAGCAAAAGAAGAAAAAAGTCGCTGGAATAGGTTTTAAAGATACTGATGATTTTGCTAATAAAGGTAAATATTTTGAAAAGTAAACGTTATAAAAGCACAATTCATAGGACTGATCTTCCGAATGAACTGTTTTGATGTGAGCATCTAAAATACCACAAAGTAGTTGTATTGCAAAAAAAACATACAGAAAAACACTTAAGAAAGCCCAAATGGAGAATGAAATTTAAAAACAAATGGTTCACTGTAGTAACTTTAACACTACAAATATTTCGCTGGCATTAGATGTAGTACAAGTATGTGAGATTCCTGCTAAATAACTCCCAGACTGCAAGTGTTTGAAAGTCAAACAAAACCTCTTTAAACGTGTGAAAGGCAGAAGTGTGAGCTACTGCGCTCAGTCCCTGCTGAGATTTAGAGGAACAGTTTGCAGTTGCTTATCTTGATTTTGTGGCCAACGTTCATAAGAACAAAAGAACGTTGTTAGTTTTCTTATGGGTAACATTTTAAAAGCTGAACTTCTCCGTTCTTTAAGTTTGCATGTGAACTTACCCGCTGTGTGGGATCTCTGTAGAGAAGTCGAGGATGCTTCCTGCCACTTCAGTGTTCTCAGTCTCCACAGGTGGGACCTCGGCTGGTTTGTCTTCACACTCTTCTGGCAGCTTCACCTCTTCTTGCACAGTCTCTGTTGTCGTCTTTTTTAGTTGCAGAACCTCAGCGTTTGCTGGTTCTTGTGATTCTAACACAAGTTTAGTTGGCTCTGGGATTTCTTCTACCTTTTTGGTTGATTGTAAAATGTCAGCCTGCTCTTCCTTCACTTCAACAGGTTTCCTATCAGATTCTGAAGACTCGTCTGGATGTTCTCTTGTCTCAGTTGGCTCGACTTTTTCTGACTTTTCATCTGAGAACTCTGCCCTTGAGCTCTGTGTTGGTTTGGAAAGCTCTGCTGTATGCTGTGATGGTTTTGGAAGATCTACTGTCTTTTCTAATGGTTTGGGAAGATCTACTGGTCTTTTCACAGGACACAGAGATAAGATCTGCGTGGTATTTTCTTCAGACTGGTCCAGAAGTGGAATCACTTCTTCTTGCCTCAGAGGAAGAGCTACCTCCTCAGTGGGAGTTAGAAACTCTAGCTGAGGTGACTCCAGAGATGGGAGTGGTCTGGAAAAAATACAAGAGGAGAAGATTAGAGGGTTTGCTGTTTAGTTAACAATAAACTTAAAATGACTAAATAATTAGCCATGTGTGGAAATATGGTTCCTAGAATAGAGTGCGTAGGTATGTTTGTGTTGAGAAGTGTCCTTTGTTTGAGAGTAGGCTCGTTTGTGCCCTGGAGACCAGGGCCGATGTCACAGCTGATGTCACCCTTTATATAATGGGCTGCATTACTTCCATTAGAGTTCAACGGGCAGTCATATGACTGAGCTCGATTCAATACAAAGTGCAGCTCTGTGTTTACCTCCTCCTCATTCATATTCATAGTCAGACTGCTCGACACAACAATCGCTTCAAACAAGATCTGAGATTGGTGTTACTGCAATGCTTAGTCCGAAAAATACAAAAAAATTAATTCAGACAAAATAAACAAAGTTAACCAATTCTCTTCTATCATCGTTTTTTATTCTTTCTTTATACTTCATGCACTGAGCGCACATGCACTTGTGTTTACCTCGAGGTATCCACTGTATTCACTTGTTCACTCTGAGACAGGGACGCGGCATCTTTCAGGGCTTTGATCCAGTTTGTATCTGGTTCTTGGGCCGCTTGCCCAGGAGCAGGACTCTCGGACTCATCAGCAGCTTCTACTTTCGCAGCAGCTTGTTCAGAATTGCAGGTTTGAGTCTTTTGAAAGGATTCTCTGTCACACTGAGGAGCGGTGGCAGGGGGATTTACCATAAGCCCATCCAAATCCTGATCCTGGGGCATTTCTGATACTTTAAGAGCAACAACGGGGGTTGATGGGAAATCTTTTGGGTAGTTTGATAAAAGACCAGATGGTACTGTGTTGACATCAGCAGTCACTTTACCTGATTTATCATTAGTTTCTTCTGAAATAGCCCCCTTTGAGGGACAAACAGCAGTCTGGATACTGCTCAGCAACATCCCACTTTGGCCTGAGGCTGATTCACTGTCTTTAGCGTTTAATTTGAACTTGCCCTGATCTTCTGTTTCTTCTTCATCATCAGCAAATTTCACCTTCATCTTCGCTTCGCTAATAACTTCTTCCTCAAACGATACTTTAGTTATTTTCTCGACTTTGGAGCCTTTTATGGCTGTTTGCCCTGCGGGTGGTTTTTGTGTGGCTAAAGTTTTATTGCTGCTTTGTTGCTCTCTATCCTCAATTTCACACACCCCACTTTCAACACTCTCGCTAGCTAAAGCGACATTAAAATTCTTTCCCCCAGTTTCTGGTTGCCTACTTGGATCTGGGATATTACTAAATATCTTTGTATTAATTTTTTCAGCTTGCTTTGCACTCTGAATAATGTCTGCATGAACGCCACAACTGTCTGTGCTGAGCTTTGATGAAACAGAATTGTGGGAACATAAAGTCTGGAGTTGTTGTGAAGCCAACTCGTCAGATACTTCGCTGATCTTTGACATCTCAGCTGCTCGATCCTGGTCTTTACAAGCAGCTGACAAATTAGGCTTCATGTCCAGCATTGCATTTGTATCCAACCCTAAGACAGTGTCTTTATTCATATTTTTTACCTCTCCTGTCTCACCTACTTGAGAGAAAGCTGTTTCTAATCTTTCTTCAGCACTCTCACCTCCTGAAGTTTGTACTTCAGTGCTTTTCTCCTGGCATAGCACCATTTCCCCACTATCCATCAACTCATCTTTTTTTTCTAACTGACACAAACTCTCAGAAGAGCAGTCCCCTTCCTTTGCCCCTAGTTTTGTATCTGGAACTGGTGGCTGGGCCAGACTGTAAGTCTTTTCTTCCTCTCCTCCTTCACCAGCAGACAGTTCCTCTGTGAAATGTCTGGGTCCCAGATGCTGCTGCTGCTCTTGCTCTCGTTGCTGAGCAAAACTGTTTAGATCTTGTGAAGGGTGCGATTGGCCAAGAGCTGGACTCGAATGCGGCGCAGTGTCGAAGCTGCATTCCAGCACAGGCGTTCCAGTTTGGTGCACAAACTTAATGTAAACTGTCTGACGTTCATTACCAGACTCTGATTCAACTGGTGGCATCTCCTCGGTTTTTCCGGAAGTTTCGTTCAAAGTTTCACGTTTCGGTTCTTTTTCCCCGTCCTTTGTTATAACTAATGGTGGCTGTAAACGTCCAGCTTCCACAGCAGACTCTTTATCTGGTACATTTCTCTGTTGCGGTGTTGAGACTGTCTTTCCTGTCTGCTTCTTGCTGATGTCTGCTGCTTCCTTCTGATTATCCACAACTACTTCTTCATGTCTGTTTTTCTCTTCGGAGAACATAAACATCTGATCATCCACTTTGTTTTTCTCTTCCGTATTGTCTTCTTTATTGTTACCGTGTGTCTCACTTTCAGGCAGGTCAGAGAAAAGAGGGCAGCTGACATTCTCTGGATCGTCTCTAATGGATGTTTTACAAATAGGTTTAAAGTCAGTAGAGTCTATCTTACTCTGACATTGAGATATTACACCGCTGGATTCATCTTTTAACTGAGCATCAACTGCAACAGGAGACTGAGCTGCATGAGGCAGATTTTCTTCTGAAACAAGAATATTTACAGTATTGAAAACTGAATTCTCAAGTTCATCACTTGACTGCACTGCACTGTTTCGATCTTTTACTTCTGGACCAATTTTCTTCACTGTACCCCCATGACTGTGCTTCAAATCCTGTGCTAATAACATTTGTAACACTTCACTGCTCTTATTGCTGTCCACCTCTCTGGAGACACCAGTACAGCTTCCATCAGCACTGCAGTTATCTGTGCGCTCCGGAAGAGAGATATCATCGTCACTAATAACATCCAAGTGACTCAACATTGGGCTAGGAGACTGCACCACAAAGGGTGGATTGCTGACACAATGGCTGACTGCAGATTTTGACTGTTCAGAGGCAGCCTCCTTTGTCAAACCAGTAGAGCCGTCATTAGCCTTGATGAGGTCCGTGTTGACTTGTCCACTCTGAGGTGTTTCTCCTAGAAAGCTGGGGTCGGTGGGCTTTATCTGATGAGATGTCACACCAGTTGAGATCGTAGCTTCAGGTAACTCAGAGGAAGCAGTTTTGCAGGTAACACCATCAGCAGGAACTACAGATGAAAGCAGCTGGCACCCTTTTTTTTCTTCAAGATTCACAGTGACGTCTAGTTTTAAAGATGAATCCAGAAGCAGTTCGATCTCAATTGCAACTTTAGACTCAGCGTACAGCTCATCAGTCTCAATGCAACCTTCATTATCTCTCTGGTTCTGCTCAGCAGGATGAAACAGCTGCTCTGAGACAACCTCTATGTTTGCATCAGTTGTGTCCTGAAATTCTTCAGTGTTTGTCTTAAAGTTGTCATTAATTAAGCGATCTGTACAGATCTCTTTCTTGTTTTCACTGATCAACGTATCTCCATTATCCAACATGACATCCTTCTGGGACTTTGTAAGGTCATCTGCAATATCTGTTGCTGTTTCCTCCTTGGTTGGAACTAGGTTTGTGGGGTTCAAGCTGGGAGGATTAATGAAGGTGAAACTGGCCTCAGAAACAGGGTGATGCAAAGTCTCATGAACAGTTATTGGAGGCAAAGAAGCACAGTCCAAAGCTGGAACAAACGTATCCTTAAGAGGTGCAAAAAAATTGTCTGCTTGCTTTACATCATCTGCAAAGTGAACTCTGTGGTTACCTTTATTCAGACACAGATGGACGTCCCCTCCAGACACATCAGGACCACCACTGCTGCTCTGGGTTTGGTCTTTGACTGCTGCACTTTCATCCATCTTTGCTTCAGTCATGCTATTAGGCTGCATCTGTTGACTGTTGCTTGCTTGTTGCATCTTTTGTTTTGAAGTAAATAAAGGTTGTGGTGAGTCTGAAGACTGGAAGACTTGGTTGTGGGTTTTCTCTGGGATGGATGACTTCTCACAATGTTGTCCCAAATGCAACGCTTCCTCTGCAATCAATCCCTGCGTGAGATCAGCCTTTGTCCCTCCTTCTGTACTGCCGGAGCTCTTGGTTTTAGTGTGGTGAGGTAAAACTGTTAAGTCATGCTGTTCCTGGCATGGGAGATCGAGATGGTTCTGTTCGAAGCAGACGCCCTCCGTGATCGCATCAATCAGCTCACTCCAGCTCTGTGACTTCATCTGTGACTCGGCAACATCCCTGAGCGGACTCGTTTCTGTCTCAGCTGATGACACCACACCGGCAGAGACGTCTGGCTGGCTGAATGAAATTTGCTCTCCAAATATTCCTCCTTTTTCTGCCACCTCCTCTCCTCCTCCTGTTTCAGATCCTGCAGCACTCTGATCCCGACAATCAGGACCAGCGAGCAGCCCAAAGGGAGAAGTGTTGATACAGGCTTCTGATCGTAGCAGCTCCTTTTCCGTATCCCCCTCCTCAGCTGGCAAGGTCTCTGTGTCCGAGCCGCGAATGCTTGTCTCTCGCAGACCCTTAATTTCAGCCTCAGCCAAGTTGTGGGGCATTTTGCTGCTGCAGCTATCCTCAGATGCAGTCTGTCTCTCTTCGGCTGTGAAAACAAGTGTGCTATTTCCCTGTGAGCAGCTTAACGAGACTTGATGGGGACTGTCCAGGAGTTTGTCTCGTTCCTCGTCTGCTGAGTCGAGGCACTTTTCTGTTTCTCCCAGCTTTTGGTCTCCTCTGTTCTCGCTCCCTGCAAACGCTACTGTAGCTGCTCTCGTCTGTAAATCACACCTCGTGCTTTCTCCCTCTCCCTTGCTTTCTATCACTTCTGGCAGTGTGGGTGTTGTCAGTGGCAACGCATGGACCACTATTAAAGCTTTTTCAAGGCCACTCTCTGTGCAACTCTCTCCCACACAAGAGCTACTGTTTGGGAGCACGCTTTGATTTTCCTGTGTGGGTATTATTACATTTGTGGTAACTATAGCCTCCTGCATTTGTCCTCCACTTACATGTGAGCGTTCACAGTGATTATGATTCACAATACTTTGAGCATCCATATGGTTGTAGTTATCTGACTGACTGGGCCTCTGTGAAAGATCCTGACTGGAGACAG